TTTGCCAAAGTTTCCTTTCTAAAGTTTATATTACCCAAACCTTTATATCCAAATGCAAAATTACAGTCATCCCTTAGTAGCCACAGGAGAGTGGTTCTAGAGTCCTCCTGCATACTAATCCACACAGATGCTCAAGACCCTCATATAAAATGCAGTAGTATGTAATCTACATGCATCCATACTTCCAGATTACTTACAATACCTAATGCAATCCAAGTGCTATAGAAAGAGTTGCTACACTGTATTGCCATGGGAACAGTGACAAGAGAAACAGTCTCTACATGTTCAGTACAAATGCAACTACGTTATGCAAAACTACACAGCATATGTTAGCAATATCATGTCCACACAGTTGGTTGAGTCTGTAAATGTGGAACCCACAGATACAGAGGGCTAAAAGTATAATGAAATACTGTTTACTCATTTAAAAAATTCATCTCCATACTGAAGCCCTTAAAGAATCACAATTCTGGAGACTGCCTAAGGCCTAACTCTTCTATCTTTCCTTTCAGCTAACAGTTCTCCCCTTCCTCTTGGAGGAAGGAAGGAACTTGTTCACCCATCTCCCCTCATGTGGTTACTCTATCTATGCAGTGGTCTGCTCTATATACATTTCTTTATAAACCCCCTTTCACTCTCCCTGGTGGGGTGGAAAGGGAAATCACAATTCTATTGTCTCTTCCTCCATTAGTATTTCTAAACCTCAACTTGAAACTGTCATTCAAGTAACCATGCAACATCCTTCACATGAAAAATACCAAATCAAAAGAAAGAGCAGTTTTGCTAGATTAAAAAAAAAGAAAAAAAGGAGCTAAAGACCACTAAACTCATTCTAGTCCTAAGAGGAAACCCAATATACTGATCAGAAGATGTGCTTTCTTTTATAAAAATAAACAAACCAAAAACTTATACTGAAAAGGTAAGTCATGGTCAGGACTAGTCACTAGCATCGTGTTAAAGAGCTGGATCTCACAGGGCCAACTGCATGGCTTGAGTCCTAGACCCAGCAGATGGACATATGCACATGTGTGTGCATATCCAAAATCCCTGGTAGAAAATTTAAAAGAAGAGACTGTGGCATGCCCATGTACCTTGGAGGGGTGATTTCTCACTTTCTCTCTGTCTCTCCCTAATGAGTGCATGTACTCTACAGTAAAACTTAAGAAAAAAAAAATTTTTAAGTAATTCATGGAAGGCAAAGCTGCATAAATATGCTGGGCCTTCAAAAAGTTCATGGAAAATGTATTATTATGAAAAAATGATGCATAAATTTCTTTTTTAATTGGCAAGAAGTATATGCAGTCACTGGAGAGAAACAAAGAGGCAAAGAAAGAGAGGAAGAAAACACTCCCCAGCGGAGCATGATAAGCACTACAATCCATTCTCTATTTCTCTATCAAGACAGGCACATGGGCATTCATGCACATATGCCTCGCTTGTTTTTCAAACTGTTAGGGCCAGGATACAAAATGAGGTCATCCAGTGGGAAGTGGCTCCCTTGCCACTAGGCTACAGAGCCAAAACAATGCATGAATTTCAAAAACTTTTTACATCAAAGAAACTTGTACTTTAATTCTACCTTCCCACAAATTTTTCATAAGGTCAAGAAATATAAAGTTATATAAAAATCAGGAAGAGGCAACTGAATTAGACAATTAGAAAAATCACTAATAATCTTTTCAAATTTTTGAAAACCAGGAGAAGCCCAATTATAATGACTTATGAAAGTATGAAATAGAAATTAACTCTCACGAGGTATGACAGTGAAAGAAAGCAGAACAACAAAAACTTAAAGGTCAGACATATCAAGAGAAAAGTATTTTAAAATGAAAAAGACCTGAGTATATTTCATGAAAGAGCCAGAAGGGAGCGACTAAATAACCAGGTGAGGGAAAAACAAACAGTTAAAGTTTAAAAGTAGGGAGAATCTAATGTACAGAATGAAGTACTAGTCTCACAAAAAGTAGGACCTCTTGCTCCTCTGAGATAAGAGGAGGAAAGGCCAAGAGAGAGAGATAACCTTGGAGGTAGCAAGAATGGAAGTTGACATCCAGTGGTCCTTATGTTCACAGTGCTTCCAAGAGTCATTATTTCATTTTAACATGAAGCTTGAAGCTCAAACTGGAAAGGAAACAGAACCAGGCTGCTCCTTATACATAACACATAAAGAGGTTCCATTCCAATGTAATGTTTTAGAACAGAAAAGCAATCTGAAAAAAAAACAGACAAAATGTTCTGGTGGGTAGCCTTAAAAACACAGACTCTAGAGTCAAAATGTTAGGAGTCTATATCCAAGCTCCATCACATATTAGCTGGATGATCTTAGATGAGTTACTTAACTTCTGTGTTTCAATTTGGAAAATGAGAATAATAGTTATGAGAAAAATCCACGAAAAGAGCTTAGAAAGAAACCAAACACACAGAAGCTCACTAAATGTAACATACTGCTATAAAAATAAGTTATTGTAGGCCAGTAGGTGGTATAGAGGTTAAGGTGTTGGATCCCATATGGCTGAACTTTGCAATTTAAGTCCCAGACCAGCAGCTTGAAAATCATGCTGGGTACATGTGCATGCAAGCCCAAAACCCTGAGAGAACAGAGAAGGGTGTGTGGCCATCCCCTCAGGGGTGATTTCTCACTTTCCCACTATGTCCAGTGAGTATTCATGCCCTACAATAATACCCAAAAATGAAAATAAAAACAAGTAGTTATTGTTAGTGGAGTTTTTAGAAAAGTGAATTCAAACAGTTTGTAAATATGGTGTCTAAAATTATAAATTTTAAAATTTTATAAAATTAAAATTATACACTTTCCCCACTTTATAGGCAAAAGCACAAACCAGATCTTATGTCAGCAATTGATGATTTTTCTTAACTTATATCATAAATCTTAAACATTACTATAATTTGCCAAATATAACACCAATTTACCTAATTTATTTCAAGTTAGATGTAAGTGATTACCAAGCATGCTTATTTTTTCCCAACACAGGACCCTTAAACAGAATATTTTTTAATAAAATAAACAAATTATATTTTTAAAGGGCTTTAAAAACTTACAATCCAATTGCTTAACACAGAAAGTGGACAAATGATCAGTGTTGTTCTTGGTCTCTCTTCAACATCAGCTTTCTTTGATCCCTCCACTGCAGATGCTCCTAAAAGAATCAATCATATGAAAACCTTTAGCTGCTTTTTTCTGAGATATATTTATAAATATTAAGATGACAATAATATGCCCCAATGAGAATAGAAATCGGGAAGAATTAAAATGAAGTAAGTGGGCTTCTGATTCCAACTACGATAAAGTAAACAGGACTGGATTTTACCTTATCACTTTAAAAGAATTAAAAATTAGAACCAGCAGTTAGTATAATGGCTATGTCGCTGGACTCCCCTGTAGTCGACCGAGGTTCGAGCCTCAGACCCTATGGCTTAAACTCATGCTGGGAGCGTGCGTGTGTGTGTGTGTGTGTGCCCACGATCCCGAGAAGAGAAGGGATTGCGGTGTGGCCATCCCCCCTGGGGGCGGGGGGTGATTTCTCGCTTTCTGTCTATCTCTCTCTGTCTCTGGCGAGTGCATGTGCCCTACAGCAAAAACCTCTCAAAAAAAAAAAAAAAATTAAAAAAC